GAAGGAAGGAAGGAAGGAAGGACTAGTATGATCTGCAAATAGGCCCAAGAATTATAAACACAATCTCTCTCTTTCTCTTTCGACATACCTTCTTTTCCTTTGCGATGCGTTCTGCCCGGAGAGACGCAACTTGAATCGGAGGCAGGGGCTTATCATAGTTGATGCCGCTAGAAACAGAGGAAAAATAGACAGGTAATAGATACAAAATAATAAATAAAGAGTCAGTTAGGTCAGGTGGGTAGTATAGAAATATATGACGAATGAGTGAATGAGTACATGAATAAATGAATGAACGATTGAGCAAGCGAGCCAAGTCAGATATTCTAAAAGAAAAGAAAAATAGGCATGAAGCAAGTTAATTAAACCCTGATGATTTCAGTGCTACGTTGCGTACATATAACACCTGACTAGAATAAGAAGATGTTGGGGTAAATATTCTGAACTCTAGATCAAGGCTCTCCAAACTTGGCAACTTGCAAGACTCGTAGACTTCAACTCCCAGAATTCCCCAGCCAGCATGGCTGGCTGAGGAATTCTGGGAATTGAAGTCCACAAGTCTTAAAAGTTGCCAAGTTTGGTGACAAGGATCTAGAGATCCTTGTTTTTTTTTCTACCTTGTCTTGCAACGTCTTACCTTTCTGCAAGGACCGAAGTGTGTTTTGGATTTTTCTGGAAAGGGTTCATGCCAAGTCTGAAATAAAACAACCCAAAAAGAGGCTTTGTTGGAAAGTCACGCAATTTAAAAACGCCACCTGTAATTAGATGCCAATCCAAGTTTGAAATGGAGGAATCAGCTTAAGCAGACAAATTAGTACCCCAAGTGAACCTCAGAAGGGGGCCTATCCAGGCACATCTTTTGTTCGTTAAGACATTCCTCATGCTTGTCTTGAGTGCACACTTCTATTATGTAACACGAGGCTGTATTTCTAGTTGATTAGATTTTTATCCTGCCCCTTACTACTTTAAAAGTAACACGAGGTGGTGAACGTACCTAATACTTTTTTCCTTCTCCTATTTTCACCACAACATACAGTACCTGTGAGATAGGCTGGCATGAGAGAGAGGGACTGGCCCAAATGCACCCAACTGGCTTTCCTGCCTAAGGTGGAACTATAACTCGCTGTCTCCTGGTGATTTGCTCAAAGTCACTCAACTGGCTTCTGTGCCTAAGGTGGGACTAGGACTCACAATCTCCTGGTAACTGATCCAAAGTCAACTTTCATGCCTTAAGCAGGATTTAGAACTCCCTGTCTCAATCAATCCAAATCAGAATAGAGCTGGAAGGGGCCTTGGAGGACTTCTAGTCCAGCCCCCTGCTCAAGCAGGAGACCCTGTATCATTTCAGACAAGTGGCTGTCCATTCTTCTTAAAAACCACCAGGGATGAAGCACCTACAACTTCTGAAGGCAAGCTAATAACTTATGACTGTCCTCAGTGTTAGGAAGTTTCTCCTTAATTCCAGGTTGCTTCTCTCCTTGATTAGTTTCCATCCATTGTTTCTTGTCCTGCCCTCTGGTGCTTTGGAGAATTAAGTTGACCCCTTCCTCTCAAATTCTGGAATATTGCTATCATGTCCCCCCCACCCTCATCCTTCTTTTCTCTAGACTAGCCAAACCCAAGTCCTGCAACCGTTCTTCACATGCTTCGGTCTCCAGGCCTTTAATCATCTTAGTTGCTCTTCTTTGCACTTTTCCCCCCCAAAGTCTCAACATCTTTTTTGCGATGTGGTGACCAAAACTGGATGCAGTATTCCAGGTGTGGCCTTACTAAGGCTTTATAAAGCAGTACTAATGCTTCGCGTGATTTTGATTCTGTGCCTCTGTTTATGCAACCAAGGATTGTATTAGCTTTTTTGGCTGCTGCCGCACACGGCTGACTCCTGTTTAAGGGATCATCCACTAGGACTCCAAGGTCCCTCTCACGGTTACTGTTTTTGAGCCAGGTTTCACATCTAATCTGTACTTGTATTTTTGGTTTTTCTTATCCAGGTGTAAAACCTTGCTTTTCTCCACATTAAAGTTCATTTTGTGGGATAGGGCCCCTTTGCTCAAGCCTGTCAAGATCTGTTGGGATCCTGAGCTTGTCTTCTGGGGTGTTAAGATCCTCCCCACTACACCTGGTTCTTCTTTATCAATATCACCCCTGGGGACTGTCTACTGGATTCAGGCCTATTAAGTATGGAAAGGACTCATTTTCTCCCTAGTGTTCCTTTATGAACTTACAGGGGTTTGATGGGCGGGCTCCTCTTCCCAGCGATTAATTTCATGATCTCGAAATGGTTTGTGTAGAGATGGGTGTGCGAGGCACCTTCGTCCTGGGCGTACAGCTGGTTGGTCCGAAGCGGGCGACTGTTCTTTGTCTAAACGTGAACAAATGACAAAACTTCATATGGGGAGCAAAATGGAAAGACACGGGGAGGCACTGGTCTATACACCAACCCTTGTGGGAGTTTCAACACAGCAATCTTCCCTAATCTGGCGTCCTCCAATTATGAGGCTATTAACAGTGTTTCTCAACCTGGGCATCTTTCCGAGAGTGTGGACTTCAACTCCCAGAATTCCCTTGGGTCTGGCTTCCCTAGATTAACACTTTATGATTACTGGAGATCAATGGGTTTAACCAAGGCTTTGAGCCAGGGCCTGGCTGAGGAATTCTGGGAGTTGAAGTCCACAAGTCATAAAAGGGCCAAGTTTGAAGACTCCTCCTGCTTTAAGCCAATGTTTCTGTATGTGGGCAATTTTAATAAATGCGGACTTCAACTCCCAGAATTCCCCAGCCAGCATATAGATTCCATCTAGACCAGAGGTTACTGTCTGGATAATTAGACAGTAATTAAATAATTAGATAATTCTTCCAATGGATAATTAGATAATTCTTTCAATGGATAATTAGTTCTTCCAATGAAGAAGGGAGGAAAGCCTAACGTAATTTTGAATGTGTGTTTCCCCACGTCTTAGGATAATGAACTGGAAGAGGCGAATGACTGCTTATTGATCTCTTCATTGCCTGACCTCTGATTTTTGATTTCCAGAACTAAACACAGCTGATTGTAGCATCAACATTTATGACAAGCTAGTTCCAATACAGCCTTTACGGTTGCCACACAAAGAGCAAATTCTCTTGGGCCATTCCTCAAACGCAGGAAGGTTTTCCCCATCACAGAGAAAATCAGATTATTTTTTAAAAAACAAAACAAAACAGTTTGCTGAACAAGCCACAACGGCCTGCCATAACACCATCGGGCTAGGCGGAAAACCACAACTGATAAACTCCACAGGGCCAGATCTATGCAACCTGTAAAGTCCAAATCGAGCCAACCAAATGAAGGCTTAGAGTGATGCTCGAACTTGGCCACGCATCTGTGCGCGGGCAAACACACCCACACACACAGAGACATGGAGCTTTTATCTTGAAATGTCGGTCTGCTAATCAACTTGCAAACTGTTCATTTGCAACCTCACAAACTTTTCAAAGGTTTGGGGGGTGTTTTTCCCCCCTCCCCTGGGAAGAAAAGGCTTAATATTTGTGATGTGAGAAAGAGGGCTCCAGAGCTTTGTCCCCTCATTGGTGTGTTTGTGTGTTATGTGGGTTATCCAATTTGTAGAGAACCACTCAGAAGGACCACTGCGTCTCCTAACAATACAGCTACCGCTAACGTGATGCTCAAATTCTGCAGGGGTTAATTTGAAGGGGGTGGGTGGGGTGGAGAGGAGGTGATACGTTACCTGAAGGGGTGTTGCAGGGATTAATTCATTAAAGTTCTGCAAAGCAATCAGATTTCAAAATGAAAAGTAAAAAAATAAAATAAAAAAAAACCAAAAAAAAACCCCAGCTAGTAACCAAAATTGTATTAACTGAAACCCCAAAAATTAAAAAAAAGAAAGAAAGAAAGGAAAAAAAAAATTCATGAGGAATGAGGTGTCATTTCTGGGGAGGTGGATGGATTCTATTGTTCTTTTCTTTTCTCTTTTTTCCCCTAAACAATAATTTAAAAAAAAAAAAAAAGATGATATTCAAACCGGGTGAGGAAATTGCTCAACCGCATGCTGGAGACACAAAAGGGACCACGAATCACGATCTACTGCGTCGGGAACGCGAAAATTAAAAAGGCGGAAGGCTTTGAAAGGGTGTTGAATTGGGTGGAGGGGGTTCAGGTGGGGAAATATGGACCGGTTCCTACTTCGGCTTGGGTCCCATCTCTGCGGACGCCTAAAGAGAGTCGGAACTGTCTGCATTGGAACAACAATTTATAAGTGCACACCTTATAAATGCTTTTAGTCTTCTTCTTAGGATTCGCTTCATACATAAGCTGTAAAATAAGAAGCAAAGTTTTGACTTTCCGCCACGGGTTTGGGGAAGGCGATTAGTGTCACAAAAATTAAAAAAAAAAATAGTAATAAAATCATCATCAAAGAAAAGGGAGGGGGGGGGAGAAAAACAAGGTCTGGGAAAAACAAAGGAAGTCCAGGTGCCTTTTGGGGAAAAAAAAAGCACCTTTGGGACAGCAATCTCCATAATAATAATTCATAATAATTCAAAGAAGTCCTTCGTGGAGTCGTGGGCAAAGGAGGGGCAGGCACAAGGCCTGGAAGGAGAGTGGGGGGGAGAGTCAGGCTCTGTCATCCCTGATGGGACCCCCAAAAAGAAGTGGGGAGCATGCTGGAAAGCCTTGGCACAAACTCCTGGGTCTCAGTCTCCGTGCCCGTCCGTCAAAGAGGCATCAGGGTTGGACCTAGCTCAAGAGGGCAGCCGGGCGGTCGCGGGAACATCTTAGCAATTTCTTAACAAGCAAAATAATAAGAATATTTCTTTTAAAAAGAAGAAGGAGGAAGAGGAGGAGGATAAAGCACCACACCAAAGCATCACACACACAGGCACACACACACACGGTCACACAGAGAGGGAACCGCTTCGAACGGGTTTCGGAGCGGGCCCGGCTTGGCCCCCCCTCCACCCCCGTTCGGCCGCAGGCTCAGAGAAGCGGCCCCGTTTGGGCTGGCACTCACCTTCCCTTCTTCGCGGGGAATGACGATGTTTTCGTAGCGGTTGCGGCACTGCTTGGGGGAGCGGTAAACCCGGCTGCAGGAGTTGACCACGTCGCTCACCAGGTCCCAGTTGGGGGTGTGGGCGGGGGACATGATGGCCAGGTTGAGTGGGAGCTCCAGCAGCTGCTTGACGGCCTGGAGTAAAGGTGGAAAGGCCGAGAGGAAGGTATCAAAATACGGAATAACGGGAAGGGGCCTTGGGAGTCCAACCCTCTGCTCCAGCAGGAGACCCTCAACCACTTCAGACCAATGGCTGTCCAGTCTCTTCTTGAAAACCTCCAGTGAGGGAGGAGGGGAGGGAGGGAGGGAGGGAGGGAGGGAAGGAAGAACAATGAGAAGGAGGAAGGAAGGAAGGAAGGGAAGGAAGGAAGATGGGAGGGAAGGAAGGAAGAACAATGAGAAGGAGGGAGGGAGGGAGGAAGGAAGGAAGGAAGGAAGGAAGAAGAAAGAGAAGGAGGAAGGAAGGAAGGAAGGAAGGAAGGAAGGAAGGAAGGAAGGAAGGAAGGAAGGAAGGGAAGGAAGACAATGAGAAGGAGGAAGGAAGATAGGAAGGAAGGAAGGAAGAACAATGAGAAGGAGGAAGGAAGGAAGGAAGGGAAGGAAGGAAGATGGGAGGGAAGGAAGGAAGAACAATGAGAAGGAGGGAGGGAGGGAGGAAGGAAGGAAGATGGGAGAGAAGGAGGGAAGGAAGAACAATGAGAAGGAGGGAAGGAGGGAGGGAGGGAGGAAGGAAGGAAGGAAAGGAAGGAAAACAGAATACAGAGTTGAAAGGGACCTAGGAGGTCTTCTAGTCCAACCCCCTGCTTAAGCAGGCGACCCTCTACCATTCTAGACAAATCACTGCTCAATTTCTCCTCGAAAACGTCCAGTGACGGAGCACCCAGAAATGCTTAATGTCTTCTTAGTCAAACGTCCTGTTCAAGGCAGGAGACCCTATGACATTCCGGACAAGTGGCTGTCCAGTCTCTTCATGGAAACCTCCAGTGATGGAGCACCCCCAACTTCTGGAGGCAGGTTGTTCCACTGGTTAATTGTTCTCACTGTCAGGAAATTCCTCCTTATTTCTAGGTTGCTTCTCTCTCTGATAAGGCTCCATCTGTTGCTTCTTGTCCTGCCTTCAGTTACTTTGGAGAATAGGTTGCCCCCGCCCGCTCACCCGCCCCCCCAGTCTGAAATGGTATAGGTTCTCCTGCTTGAGCAGGGGGCTGGATTAGAAGACCTCCAAGATTCTGTTCTGTTCTGGGATCGTTCTCTGGTCGGTTTGGTAGACCACCCCTCACCTGCAGGAGAGCCCAATCTTCGCTGATCAGCCACTCGGGGTTATCCTGGCCGGCTTCGGCTGCCGGCTTGACCAGGGTGGGCAAGGGCTTGGCAAAAGGGGTCTGCTGTTTGAGCAGGATGTTCTTCTTTTGCTCCTTGCCTTCCCGTCGCACTTTCAGCATCCCTGGAGTGGCGCGGTCAAAGAGGGAGCGAGGAGGGATGACCACCTCTCCGTGACGCTGCTTCTTCTTCCTTCCGGCGGCTGGGAGAGAAGGATGGCCACAGTCAGCAGGAGAACTAGAGAATTGTCTCTCTCTTTCTCTCTGTGTGTTTATGTGAGTGTGTGTGTGTGTGTGTGTGAAGAGACAAACAAGAGGGCAGCCTGGCCCAAACAGGTACAGCCTGGAACCAGGAAGTTGACTTGGATGGAGCCATAATTAGCTTCCAGGCAAAGGGGACGGGAGGTGCAGCCGATACACAAGGCAGAAGGCAGACGGAGCCCAAACCCCGCGCAAAGCTTACTGGAAGGGTCGGTCTTGTGCCTTTTGCGCTCTTTCCTGACGTACACGGGAGGCAGCTTGGATTCTGGGATGGGGACCGGCTCGTACATCAGACACATGACCGAGTCAATGTAAATGTCGTTGTCATCCTGCGGTGGGGTGGGTGGAGTCCAAAGCTGCAAAAAGCATCAGGAGAAAGTTAGCCTTGTTCCCTAAACTGTACAGGGATATACATATTTGTGTGTTTCACTGGAGGAGGAGGAGGAGGAGGAGGAGGAGGAGGAAGAGGGGGAGGAGGATGGAAGGAAAAGGAGGAGGGGAGGAGGAGGGGAGGAAGAGGAGGAGAGGATGGGAGCAGGAGAGGATGGGAAAAGGAGTAGGAGAGGAGGATGGGAGGAGGAGGTGGGAGGAGGTGGGNCCCAGAATTCCCTTGGGTCTGGCTTCCCTAGATTAACACTTTATGATTACTGGAGATCAATGGGTTTAACCAAGGCTTTGAGCCAGGGCCTGGCTGAGGAATTCTGGGAGTTGAAGTCCACAAGTCATAAAAGGGCCAAGTTTGAAGACTCCTCCTGCTTTAAGCCAATGTTTCTGTATGTGGGCAATTTTAATAAATGAGGACTTCAACTCCCAGAATTCCCCAGCCAGCATATAGATTCCATCTAGACCAGAGGATACTGTCTGGATAATTAGACAAGAGTTAACTCCAATGAAGAAGGGAGGAAAGCCTAACGTAATTTTGAATGTGTGTTTCCCCACGTCTTAGGATAATGAACTGGAAGAATGACTGCTTATTGATCTCTTCATTGCCTGACCTCTGATTTTTGATTTCCAGAACTAAACACAGCTGGGTGTAGCATCAACATTTATGACAAGCTAGTTCCAATACAGCCTTTAGGGTTGCCACAAAAAGAGCAAATTCTCTTGGGCCATTCCTCAAACGCAGGAAGGTTTTCCCCATCACAGAGAAAATCAGATTATTATTTTTTTTTTAAAAAAAACAAAACAGTTTGCCGAACAAGCCACAACGCCCTGCCATAACACCATCGGGCTAGGCGGAAAACCACAACTGATAAACTCCACAGGGCCAGATCTATGCAACCTGTAAAGTCCAAATCGAGCCAACCAAATGAAGGCTTAGTGTGATGCTCGAACTTGGCCACGCATCTGTGCGCGGGCAAACACCCCCCCACACACAGAGATATGGAGCTTTTATCTTGAAATGTCGGTCTGCTAATCAACTTGCAAACTGTTCATTTGCAACCTCACAAACCTTTCAAAGGTTTGGGGGGGTGTTTTTTCCCCCCTGCCCTGGGAAGAAAAGGCTTAATATTTGTGATGTGAGAAAGAGGGCTCCAGAGCTTTGCTCCCCTCATTGGTGTGTTTGTGTGTTATGTGGGTTATCCAATTTGTAGAGAACCACTCAGAAGGACCGCTGCGTCTCCTAACAATACAGCTACAGCTAACGTGATGCTCAAATTCTGCAGGGGTTAATTTGAAGGGGGTGGGTGGGGTGGAGAGGAGGTGATACGTTACCTGAAGGGGTGTTGCAGGGATTAATTCATTAAAGTTCTGCAAAGCAATCAGATTTCAAAATGAAAAGTAAAAAAATAAAATAAAAAAAACAAAAAAAACCCCAGCTAGTAACCAAAATTGTATTAACTGAAACCCCAAAAATTAAAAAAAAGCAAGAAAGAAAGGAAAAAAAAAATTCATGAGGAATGAGGTGTCATTTCTGGGGAGGTGGATGGATTCTATTGTTCTTTTCTTTTCTCTTTTTTTCCCCTAAACAATAATTTAAAAAAAAAAAGATGATATTCAAACCGGGTGAGGAAATTGCTCAACCGCATGCTGGAGACACAAAAGGGACCACGAATCACGATCTACTGCGTCGGGAATGCGAAAATTAAAAAGGCGGAAGGCTTTGAAAGGGTGTTGAATTGGGTGGAGGGGGTTCAGGTGGGGAAATATGGACCGGTTCCTACTTCGGCTTGGGTCCCATCTCTGCGGACGCCTAAAGAGAGTCGGAACTGTCTGCATTGGAACAACAATTTATAAGTGCACACCTTATAAATGCTTTTAGTCTTCTTCTTAGGATTCGCTTCATACATAAGCTGTAAAATAAGAAGCAAAGTTTTGACTTTCCGCCACGGGTTTGGGGAAGGCGATTAGTGTCACAAAAATTAAAAAAAAAATAGTAATAAAATCATTATCAAAGAAAAGGGAGGGGGGGAGGAAAAACAAGGTCTGGGAAAAACAAAGGAAGTCCAGGTGCCTTTTGGAAAAAAAAAAAGGCACCTTTGGGACAGCAATCTCCATAATAATAATTCATAATAATTCAAAGAAGTCCTTCGTGGAGTCGTGGGCAAAGGAGGGGCAGGCACAAGGCCTAGGGGGGGAGTGGGGGGAGAGAGACAGGCTCCGTCATCCCCGATGGGACCCCCAAAAAGAAGTGGGGAGCATGCTGGAAAGCCTTGGCACAAACTCCTGGGTCTCAGTCTCCGTGCCCGTCCGTCAAAGAGGCATCAGGATTGGACCTAGCTCAAGAGGGCAGCCGGGCGGTCGCGGGAACATCTTAGCAATTTCTTAACAAGCAAAATAATAAGAATATTTCTTTTAAAAAGAACAAGGAGGAGGAGGAGGAGGATAAAGCACCACACCAAAGCATCACACACACAGGCACACACACACACGGTCACACAGAGAGGGAACCGCTTCGAACGGGTTTCGGAGCGGGCCCGGCTTGGCCCCCCCTCCACCCCCGTTCGGCCGCAGGCTCAGAGAAGCGGCCCCGTTTGGGCTGGCACTCACCTTCCCTTCTTCGCGGGGAATGACAATGTTTTCGTAGCGGTTGCGGCACTGCTTGGGGGAGCGGTAAACCCGGCTGCAGGAGTTGACCACGTCGCTCACCAGGTCCCAGTTGGGGGTGTGGGCGGGGGACATGATGGCCAGGTTGAGTGGGAGCTCCAGCAGCTGCTTGACGGCCTGGAGTAAAGGTGGAAAGGCCGAGAGGAAGGTATCAAAATACGGAATAACGGGAAAGGGCCTTGGGAGTCCAACCCTCTGCTCCAGCAGGAGACCCTCTAGCACTTCAGACCAATGGCTGTCCAGTCTCTTCTTGAAAATCTCCAGTGAGGGAGGAGGGGAGGGAGGGAGGGAGGAAGATGGGAGGGAAGGAAGACAATGAGGAAGGAAGGAAGGAAGGAAGGAAGGAAGGAAGGAAGGAAGGAAGGAAGGAAGGAAGATGGGAGGGAAGGAAGGAAGAACAATGAGAAGGAGGAAGGAAGGAAGGAAGATGGGAGGGAAGGAAGAACAATGAGGAGGAAGGAAGGAAGGAAGGAAGAAAGATGGGAGGGAAGGAAGGAAGAACAATGAGAAGGAGGAAGGAAGGAAGATGGAAGGGAAGGAAGGAAGAACAATGAGAAGGAAGGAAGGAAGGAAGGAAGGAAGGAAGGAAGGAAGGAAGGAAGATGGGAGGGAGGGAAGGAAGAACAATGAGAAGGAGGAAGGAAGGAAGGAAGATGGAAGGGAAGGAAGGAAGAACAATGAGAAGGAAGGAAGGAAGGAAGGAAGGAAGATGGGAGGGAAGGAAGAACAATGAGAAGGAGGAAGGAAGGAAGGAAGATGGGAGGGAAGGAAGGAAGAACAATGAGAAGGAAGGAAGGAAGGAAGATGGGAGGGAAGGAAGAACAATAGGAAAGAAGGAAGGAAGGAAGATGGGAGGGAAGGAAGGAAGAACAATGAGAAGGAGGAAGGAAGGAAGATGGGAGGGAAGGAAGGAAGAACAATGAGAAAGAGGAAGGAAGGAAGGAAGGAAGGAAGGAAGGAAGGAAGGATAAGGCTCCATCCGTTGCTTCTTGTCCTGCCTTCATCCTTTGGCGAATAGGTTGCCCCCCCCCACCCCCTAGTCTGAAATGGTATAGGTTCTCCTGCTTGAGCAGGGGGCTGGATTAGAAGACCTCCAAGATTCTGTTCTGTTCTGGGATCGCTTTGTAGTTGGTTTGGTAGACCACCCCTCACCTGCAGGAGAGCCCAGTCTTCGCTGATCAGCCACTCGGGGTTATCCTGGCCGGCCTCGGCTGCCGGCTTGACCAGGGTGGGCAAGGGCTTGGCAAAGGGGGTCTGCTGTTTGAGCAGGATGTTCTTCTTTTGCTCCTTGCCTTCCCGTCGCACTTTCAGCATCCCTGGAGTGGCGCGGTCAAAGAGGGAGCGAGGAGGGATGACCACCTCTCCGTGGCGCTGCTTCTTCTTCCTTCCGACGGCTGGGAGAGAAGGATGGCCGCAGTCAGCAGGAGAACTAGAGAATTGTCTCTTTCTCTCTGTGTGTTTATGTGAGTGTGTGTGTGTGTGTGTGTGAAGAGACAAACAAGAGGGCAGCCTGGCCCAAACAGGTACAGCCTGGAGCCAGGAAGTTGACTTGGATGGAGCCATAATTAGCTTCCAGGCAAAGGGGACGGGAGGTGCAGCCGATACACAAGGCAGAAGGCAGACGGAGCCCAAACCCCGCGCAAAGCTTACTGGAAGGGTCGGTCTTGTGCCTTTTGCGCTCTTTCCTGACGTACACGGGAGGCAGCTTGGATTCTGGGATGGGGACCGGCTCGTACATCAGACACATGACCGAGTCAATGTAAATGTCGTTGTCATCCTGTGGTGGGGTGGGTGGAGTCCAAAGCTGCAAAAAGCATCAGGAGAAAGTTACCCTTGTTCCCTAAACTGTACAGGGATATACATACTTGTGTGTTTCACTGGAGGAGGAGGAGGAGGAGGAGGAGGAGGAGGAGGGGNGAAGGAGAAGGATGGAAGGAAAAGGAGAATAGGAGGAGGAGGATGGGAGGAGTAGAGGATGGAGAAGAGGAGGATGGGAGGAAGAGGATGGGAAGAGGAAAATGGAAGGAGGAAGAGGAAGAGAATGGGAGAAGGAGAAGGATGGGAGGAAAAGGAGAATAGGAGGAGGAGGATGGGAGGAGGAGAGGATGGAGAAGGAGAGGATGGAGAAGGAGGAGAGGAGGATGGGAAGAGGAAAATGGAAGGAGGAGGAAGAGAATGGGAGGAGGAGAAGAAGGAGAAGGATGGGAGGAAAAGGAGAATAGGAGGAGGAGGATGGGAGGAGGAGAGGATGGAGGAGGATGGGAGGAAAAGGAGGATGGGAGGAGGAGAGGATGGAGAAGGAGGAGGAGAGGAGGATGGGAAGAGGAAAATGGAAGGAGGAGGAGAATGGGAGAAGGAGAAGGAGAAAGAGAAGGACTTACTGGCATTATTTCAGTTTGTCCATCTGGTCCTTCGTAAAAATACTCCTGTAGTACCAGCAGGGATGGTGGTTGGTGGGGAGAGAGAGGGCAGAGAGAGGTGCAGTCAGTTCTAATGTTATGACAAATGTACCCCAAGTCTTACCACCCCTCTTAACAGCCAGATCAAAATAGGGAGACAGCTGCCGCCAGATCGGCTTCCCACTCCTGAACATCCTGGCGCTAAGTGGGAGAAGTTGATTGACGGCAACGGGAGAAGGGCGACATTGGAAAAGACGGCGGACGGCGATTGGGACGGGAAAGCGCAACAAGCACGAGTCTGGAAATATTTCCAGAGCTTCCAGACGACGGGATTTACCTTGTTGTAGGCGTCCTCTCGCGTGTACGTGAAAAGTTCTTCCTCCTTCCCTTGCAGAAATGTTTTCTCCTCTTCCTCTTTCAGCCCTTTCAGATGCCGAGTCTCCCATTTCCGTTTTGCTGTCCTGACTTCCACCTAGGCAGGAAAAAACAGAAAATCCAGTAAAAAGCAGAAAAAGTAGGTTCTGGGAGAGCCTGCACCCAACGCGCCACTGGTACGATATTTCTGCATAAAATGACTGCCTGGGGGGCTTCAGAGGATGCCTGTGTCTGTTGAAGGGGGCTGGAAATGTTGGCTTCCTTTGACAAGTGAGACTGATAAGAGCACAATCGTGTTAGCGCTCCTACTTCCCAGCATATCAACAGCCAGGCCGTTTGGTCTGGTGGTTAAGGCACCAGGCTAGAAAACGGGAGTCCGTAAGTTGTAGTCCTGCCTTAGGCAGGAAAGTTGGCTGGGAGACTTTGGGCCAATCACCAGGAGACTGGGAGTTCTAGTTCTGCCTTAGCCATGAAAGCCAGTTGGGTGACTTTGAGCCAATCACCAGGAGAGCTAGTCCTGCCTTAGGCAGGAAAATTGGCTGGGACACTTTGGACCAATCATCAGGAGACTGGGAGTTCTAGTTAAGCCATGAAAGCCAGCTGGGTGACTTTGAGCCAATCACAAGGAGAGGGTGAGTTCTAGTCCTGCCTTAGGCAGGAAAGTTGGCTGGGTGACTTTGGACCAATCACCAGGAGACTGGGAGTTCTAGTTTTGCCTTAGCCATGAAAGCCAGTTGGGTGACTTTGAGCCAATCACAAGGAGAGGGTGAGTTCTAGTCCTGCCTTAGGCAGGAAAGTTGGCTGGGTGACTTTGGACCAATCACCAGGAGACTGGGAGTTCTAGTTTTGTCTTGGCCATGAAAGCCAGCTGGGTGACTTTGGACCAATCACCAGGAGACAGTGAGTTCTAGTCCTGCCTTAGGCAGGAAAGTTGGCTGGGAGATTTTGGACCAATCACCAGGAGACTGGGAGTTCTAGTTTTGCCTTAGCCATGAAAACCATCTGGGTGATTGTGAGCCAGTCACCAGGAGACAGTGAGTTCTAATCCTGCCTTAGCCATGAAAGCCAGCTGGATGACTTTAGGACAGTCACTCCCTCTCATCCCAACCCATCTCACACGGTTGTGGTTGTGGGGGAAATAGGAGGAGGAAGGTGCGTTGGATATGTTTGCCGCCTTGAGTTATTTGTAAAAACAGTAAAGGCAGAATGCATGTGAATAAACACAAGTAAGTAAATAAACAGAGCTTACCTCGTTTTCTTTGGATTCATTCTCCTCAGCAGAAGCATGAAAGAATTCCAGATAATTCAAGGCATACTTTTCAATGGGGGTGAGCTGAAAAAAGGCAAAGAGAAGGCATAGCACGACCAATTCAAATATTAACGGGCAACAGATTAATGACCTTTGAAGTGGGCAGCAGAACGCCAATAAGAAGGATTTTAAAAAAAAACATGCTTGGTTTGCATTAATTTGGAGTCACTTGATAAGTAGAGCCACACTCTGTTTATCAAACTGAGAATGCAACTTCTTCTTCAGCTACAAGGGCTTGGTTTCGAAAGGGGCATAAATCTTCCGAAAATCTTTTAAACTCTTTTAAAAAGCAAAAGAACGGACAATTTGGACCGCTCTAGCCCAATCTTAAAAGAAGCATCTATTTTTTTTCTTAGAGCAGAATGCTTGCTGGGAAAAAAATCAGATGCATTAATTAAAAATAATAATAATGATAAGCAAGGCGTAAAAACGGAGAGCCAGGCTAGAAACTGGGAGATTTGAGAATTCTAGTTCTGTCTTTGGCCTGAAGCCAGAAGGGGCAATCTTAGGCCAGTCCTTCTGTCTAATCTTTAGAAGAAGGTAGCAAGGGAAACTGAGTAGTCATGCCAAGAAAACTGCAAGGGCCGGTCCAGGTAGAAGCCAGGAGTCCCCTCACTAATTAAAAAGCACAAGAACAGACAAATAGATAGCAAAAGGAACTGCTTCTTTGGATCAGGATTGAAAATATAGATGGAAACCAAGGGCACCTGATCAACCACAGCCACCAGCTCCTTCAGCAGAGACGGTTCCTCAAGATATTGTGCCTTTCCGAGTTCTGAAACCAGAGGCTTCATGGCCGATTCGCTCTCCCCATCCAGAACGCGTGAGTTCCACTCCTCCTCGTCCTCTTCCTTCTCTTCCTTCTCCTCTTCCTCTCGTTCGGTGCTTTTCAGGGCCTTTGGAAGACACAAAGCATCCTTTTTTATTTTTTTTCCTCCTCACCCTGTACTGATAGCACATATTAGATACATTCGTTAAATTTATTTGCTGCCTATCTCGCTGTGGCGGCTATTCTAGGCGGCTCACGACATTAAAAAGGGTTTTTGGTCGCCACGATGTAAAAGGGATGTTGAGACTCTGGAAAGAGTGCAGAGAAGAGCAACAAAGATGATTAGGGGACTGGAGGCTAAAGCATATAAGGAACGGCTGCTGGAATTGGGTATGTCTAGTTTAACGAAGAGAAGGACGAGGGGGGACATGATAGCAGTGTTCCAATATCTCAGGGGCTGCCCCAAAGAAGAGGGAGTCAGGCTATTCTCCAAAGCACCGGAAGGCAGGACAAGAAACTAACCAAGGAGAGAAGCAACCTAGAACTAAGGAGAAACTTCCTGACAGTTAGAACAATTAACCAGTGGAACAACCTGCCTCCAGAAGCGGTGAATGCTCCAACACTGGAAGTTTTTAAGAAGAGACTGGACAGCCATTTGTCTGAAATGGTATAGGGTTTCCTGCCTGAGCAGGGGCTTGGACTCGATGACCTCCAAGGTCCCTTCCAACTTTATTATTATTATTATTATTATTATTATTATTATTATTATTATTATTATTATTATTATTATTATGAAAAGGAAGTAAAATAACACAACGATAAACACTGAAAAGGAGCACAATGAGAAGACATCAATACGATAACCCAAAGAGGGATGGGTGGAGAGTAGAGGGCAAGGGGAGATTGATGGGAGTTTTGCCACCAATCCAGCATGGAATAAGAGGCGTAACTACCTCTGGTGTTTTCAAATCTAATTCTGCACCAGAAAAATATGGATTTTATATAACGGGAATACGTTAAGTTTGTTTGCCCAAAGAAGCAAAGGTGCACACTTTGTGAATTGATCTATCAACGGAAATAATATGTGTAGTTCTCAACTTACAACCAGGATGAAGCCTACCCATGATTGTCATAGGCCACGATGGTCGTAAAGCAGGTCATCACATCATCGACCTGATTTTACAATATATATATATTTTTGTGGTGGTGATGGATAAGTAAACACTGTGATGGTTCAGTGGAGCAATTGTTTGCCACTGAACAGTTTTGCCAAAAACCGGAGAAAAATACCGGTTTGGGGCAAAAATGCCGTAAAATGGGGTCACGTGATCCGCAAGATGCAAGAAATAGCCGTAAACACAGGTTGCCGACTGCCCCAAATGGGGTCAGCCATTGGAACTTCGGAACCAGGGCAGAAGTAGCCCTGGGAAGGGTCACTTGCAAGTTCGAGGGGTCGCTAAGCAGCCAGTCGTTAAGTCGAGGACCACTTGGACGTTAAAGATACCCTTCCAAAGGAACGTGTCGCCCAGCAGCTCAACTCTCAACCATTAAATCCAAAACACGAACGCTCCGCACGTTCTGACATCCGCTGAAAAGCTGTGTCCTTCCTCACCTCTATGAAGGGCCTGGCCACTTTGGGAGAGATGGTTTCGGATGGAGACGGCTCTTGCGACAGCATGACGAATTCTTCGGCTTTCACCCGGAAGCCCGAATCCTCCATCGGTGAGTGAACTTCAAAAAGTTCCTGAATTGTTTGCTGCAGAGAGAAGGGAAGGGAAGGCTTATTCCATCTTCACCTGTCTTGTTTGCTTACCTTGGTTCCTAGGTAGAGGTGAAAATTTCCCCTGTCCAATCGTGTCTGACTCTAGGGCAGGGGTGGGGAACCTTGGCTCTTTGAGGACTTGTGGACTTCAACTCCCAGAATTCCTGAGCCAGCATGGGGAACTATGTCCTCCTTTAGGACTTGTGGACTTCAACTCCCAGAATTCCTGAGCCAGCATGGGGAACTCTGGCCCCTTTAGGACTTGTGGACTTCAACTCCCAGAAATCCTGAGCCAGCATGGGGAACTATGGCCCCCTTTAGGACTTGTGGACTTCAACTCCCAGAATTCCTGAGCCAGCATGGGGAACTATGTCCCCCTTTAGGACTTGTGGCCTTCAACTCCCAGAATTCCTGAGCCAGCATGGGGAACTATGTCCCCCTTTAGGACTTGTGGACTTCAACTCCCAGAATTCCTGAGCCAGCATGGGGAACTATGGCTCCTTTAGGACTTGTGGACTTCAACTCCCAGAATTCCTGAGCCAGCATGGGGAACTATGTCCCCCTTTAGGACTTGTGGACTTCAACTCCCAGAATTCCTGAGCCAGCATGGGGAACTATGTCCCCCTTTAGGACTTGTGGCCTTCAACTCCCAGAATTCCTGAGCCAGCATGGGGAACTATGTCCCCCTTTAGGACTTGTGGACTTCAATTCCCAGAATTCCTGAGCCAGCATGGGGAACTATGGCTCCTTTAGGACTTGTGGACTTCAACTCCCAGAATTCCTGAGCCAGCATGGGGAACTATGTCCCCCTTTAGGACTTGTGGACTTCAACTCCCAGAATTCATGAGCCAGCATGGGGAACTATGCCCCCCTTTAGGACTTGTGGACTTCAACTCCCAGAATTCCTGAGCCAGCATGGGGAACTATGACCCCTTTAGGACTTGTGGACTTCAACTCCCAGAATTCCTGAGCCAGCGTGGGGAACTATGTCCCCCTTTAGGACTTGTGGACTTCTGGGAGTTGAAGTCCACAAGTCATCAAAGAGCCAAGGTTCCCCACCCCTGCTCTAGGGAGCGTGCCCAGCTCCGTTTCGTGGCGGAGGGAGCCAGCGTTGTCTAAAGACAATTTTTGTGGCCATGTGGCCAGCACGACTCTACACCAAAGGTGCAATGAACGCTGCTGCCTTTTTCACCGAAGTGGTACCTATTCATCTACTCGCCTTTGCATGCTTTCGGACCGCTAGGTGGGCAGAAAGCTGGGACGAGAATCTTTCATTTCTACACCCCTTCATTTCCCGAGCCTTTCTGGGGCCAGTCAAGTAGTCAGACTTCCCCAAAGCCACCGGCCCCAAACTAAAACCTGCCTGCCCTTTTCAACAAGGAGATTACCTGCGTTAGAAAGGCCATGGAGTACTCGTTTCCCTGAGCAGCTACTTCTCGGATCAGATCCTTGGTCCCATTTTTTAAGAGTTTCTCTTCCACCGAGTTCCCACTGACCAGCCTGGAGAAATCAGAGAGGAAGCATGGCTTTACAAGGAGGGGCCAAAGACAGTGTCTGGGAAAAACAGGAAGGCCGTGGATAATACAGGTAGTCCTTGAGTTACAACAATTTCGTTTAGTGCTGTTCGAAGTTACAAGGCACTGGGAAAAAAATGGCTGTTTTTCATACTTATGACCATCGCAGCATCCCCACGGTCATGTGGTCAAAATTCAGATGTCATGATTCCGACAGATGCAATTCTTCAAAGAACCTTGAGGCACTGTTAAGGAGTCTTTAATCAAAAGAGCATCGCTTCTACACCAGTGTTTCTCAACCTTGACAATTTTAAGGCATGTGGACTTCAACTCCCAGAATTCCACAGCCAGCATGGGAGTTGAAGTCCACATGCCTTAAAATTGTCAAGGTTGAGAAACACTGTAAGACGGTCATCCTCTCCCCTAAGCACACAGTATCAAAAGCACAGTTCCTCCCTAATTAACGGTCATAAATCACATTCTCCAATTAGTTTGAATTGTAAGCTTTCCCTCCTGTTTAACAACCGGCCAAATTCTTCTCTTCTCTTCTTTCAAAACAGCCTTGAGAGGCAGTCTTCCTCCCCTCCCCCCCACCCCCAGCATCAACCAATTCTAACCCTAAAGTAACACACAAGTTAAAGAAGCAAAGCTGCATCTCCCTACGTTGTCAAGCCAGAACATCCGATGTTAGCAGCACTGACATCCGACACGGGGCAGCTGACTCCCATTGATGACGGTCCCAGGATCATGTGATCACTTTTTGTGACCTTCTGAGCAGCAAACTCAATGGGCAAACCAGATTCACTTAACCACCGTGTTACTAACTTAACGACGGGAGCGACTCCCCTTAGGAACGGTGGCAAGAAAAGTCGTACGGAGGGGCAAAAACTCACTCAGCGAAGGTCTCAAATGTCAGATGTCTCACTTAACAACAGAGATTTTGGGCTCGGTTACGGTTGTAAGTCCTAACGAATAACAATGATTTGGAAGGATAGAGTTAGGCCCACCCTTTCCTCCAGGGTTGTGTCTTCCTTTTCGCTAGCATCACCTGTAAATGTGGATGTCCTTGCACCGGCCAATCCGATCGCACCACTCCTGAGCTTTGGCTTCCATCACCGGGTTTAAATCGTTGTCGTAAAACACAACGGTGTCGGCCTCCACAAGGTTGACGCCCGTGGAGCGGCTGTGGGAAGAGAGGATGGCGCAGAAGAGACGTTTGTCTCGGTTGAAGGTTTTCATCAGCTCCTGATAGGGAGAAAGGACACACTGGTTGCCGAAGCTGACGACTAGAACCGGAAAACAGGATCTGCCCCATCCTCGTTGGCTAACAGCTAAACATGGCTGGATTTGCCCAATGAAGCAGGCAGAAATCCATGTCTTGTGAAGTCTGTGTCTGGATGCAAACTGAAACCTAGGATGAACAGGCTGCAGGAGCTGTGTATGTCTAAAAGTCTAAAGAAGAGAAGGCTGTACACAGTTCTAGGCTGCATTAACAGAGGGATAGAATCAAGATCATGAGAAGTTATTAATATCACTTTACAATGCCTTGGTAAGGCCACACTTAGAGTGCTGCATCCAGTTTTGGTCACCACGATGTAAAAAAGATGTTGAGACTCTAGAAAGAGTACAGAGAAGAGCAATAAAGATGATTAGGGGACTGGAGGTTAAAACATATAAGGAAAGGTTGATGGAATTGGGTATGTCTAGTTTAATGAAGAGAAGGATGAGGGGGGACATGATGGCAGTGTTCCAGTATCTCAGGGGCTGCCCCAAAGAAGAGGGAGTCAAGCTATTGTCCAAAGCGCCCGAAGGCAGGACAAAAAGCGACGGATGGAAACTAATCAAGGAGAGAAGCAACCTAGAACTAAGGAGAAACTTCCTGACAGTTAGAACAATGAACCAGTGGAACAACCTGCCTCCAGAAGCGGTGAATGCTCCAACATTGGAAGTTTTCAAGAAGAGACTGGATCAGCCATTTGTTTGAAACGGTATAGGGCCTCCTGCCTGAGCAGGGGGTTGGACTAGATGACCTCCCAGGTCCCTTCCAACTCTGTTATTCTTTGTTAAGTCTGTTACAGACCTGAATGTGATAGGTGAACTTGCTCACTGGGTGCAAAGGGGCTTCCTCCCACAGGGAGCATGCTAAGGGGAGAGTTAAAGAGGTCAACGCGTGTCAAATTCTGGAGGGAGTGAGATAAAGAGTGAGACACACCTGGCGCTCCTCCTGGTTTGCACATTCGTCGATTCTCACGTAGGTGAGGAAATGGAAGTTGAGGAACCGTTCCAAGATGTCCAACATGAGCATCATCTGGGACAAGATCAGCACCCTTCGCCCTTCCGACTTCAGCTTCTGCAGTAAGACCGCCAGGGCTTCCAATTTCCCTGCGATGCCAGAAGAAGAAGAAGAAGAATCAGATTTGGGAGCGCGACGTCCCCGGTTAGGTGACGGACAGGCGCACCTCGAGCTGTTGCCTCTACCTGCATCGTACTGGATTAGACGGAGGTCAGGAAACGGAAGCAGCCGGGGCATGGTCAGCTGATGAAGCTGGTTCAGGCAAGGCAGCGTCTTCTCCCTCAGGTTGTGCCGGAGGAGTTTCATCCGATGGCGATAAACGGGGGGAAGCCTCGCCATGTGCAAAGACGGAGGAGCGGCCACGGCAGCGGGCAACACGCAGAGGGCCCTTGGAAACAAAGCACAGCCACGGCAAATGTTCCTGGTGGGGCCATGTTGTGACCCGCACGATTTCAAAACCCTTCAAAACCCTGTGGGGGTCCTGGGTGCTCTCTGAGCTTGGTTATTTTCTTGCAGATGTTTCATTACCCAAACGAGGTAACATCATCAGTGCTTGAAGGGAGAGGGGTTTGCAGGGAGGAGGAGGAGGAGGAGGAGGAGGAGGAGGAGGACTGTGGGGTCCTTGGTGCTCTCTGAGCTTGGTTGTTTTCTTGCAGACGTTTTATTACCCAACTAGGTAACATCATCAGTGCTAGTAGGGAGAAGGGTTTGCAGAGAGGAGGAGGAGGAGGTGGAGGAGGAGGAGGAGCAAGAGGACTGTGGGGGTCCTTGGTGCTTTCTGAGCTTGGTTGGTTTTTTTTTCAGATGTTTCATTACCCAAACATCATCAGTGCTTGAAGGGAGAGGGGTTTGCAGAAAAGAGGAGGAGGAGGAGGAGGAGGAGGAGGAGGAGGAGGAGGAGGAGGAAGAAGAAGAAGAAGAGGAGAAGGACACATCAAGCTGGAGATGAGCTCAAAGCTCAGCTGCGTAACTCCCAACTCTGAATGAGGTACTGCAACTAGACATTACACAGGCAGGTCAAGAGTGACCCAACATCTGGCAGGTTGAAGCTCCCCATCCTGCTCTAGAACCACCTGGCTGGTTACAGAGGAACGGATGAAGGAGCAGATGCCTTTTCGGTACCTTACGACTTGTAAGGATGGCCAAGAAACCCGCGGCTCTTTAGTAGCAAAGAATGGGAGAAAATATACCCACCTCCCAACTACAATCATCTGAGGCTCCAATCAGTTCCCTCAAGAGCCCATAAAGATTAACTAAATCAGGGCTCTCCAACGTTGGCAACTTCTAAGACTTGTGGACTTCTGGGAGTCGAAGTCCACAAGTCTTAAAGCTGCCAAGGTTGGAGAGCCCTGAACTAGACAACCACCAGGGCTTTACACAATCCCACAAGTGCCCTTTATTAGGAGGAAGCTCCAGCCAAGGACGGAGCTTGGAGTCACCTGCTGATGGTGTCCCTCAAGGACTGCTGCTGCTGTTCCAGCTGCCGGGTCAAGCCTTGAAGAGGGTCTTGATGATCTCTGGAGAGACGGCAGTTGACAAAGCCAGCCCACCTCCATTTGCTGGCCACGGTGGAGAACTGAGGGGTCGTGTTGGAGTCGCCCACCAGGGAGCAAACCCTACGGAGGTCCTTGCCGTAGACGGGTGCCCTGGAGCAACGCCGCTCGTTGCAAGAAAAGATCCTGTCCAAGCGCTCTTTCAGAAGCCGGTTTTTCTCCTCAAACGACTCCTTGGTAGCAGAACAAAAAGAAGAGCCGTGAGAGAAGATTGCGGAGCGAATTCACACTCTAAAATTAGAAAGATAAAAGTTCTATGGCTGCCTGCTGCTACGATCTACACTGAATTGCAAACATTCAAATAAGGATCTATCGGGTGACCTTCTATGTACAGTGGCAAGTGTCCCACCCTAAAGGAAAGTTAGGTTTTCGGGTTTCATGATTACAATTGCACTGATCCTCCATCTCAGTTTCTACCGGGGGGGGGGGGAGGTTGTCTTCATAGTGTTTTCTATATTGCTTTAATAGTCGTCGTCATCGTCATCATCATCATCATCATCCTTTGCAAAAAATCACCTTACTCGGTACTGACTCTATATTCAAACTTGGGTCCTTACTTGGGTCCTTGTTTAGGACTTGAACTTTTAAGGTTTTACCAGACTGAATTGAATTGAAGATTAACAAAATAAAATAATAAAATAAAATAAAAAATAAAATAAAAATAAAATAAAAATAAAATAAAATATAAAATAAAATAAAAAATAAATTTAAATAAAATAAAATAAAATAATAAAATAAAATCACCATCAGTCAATTGAAAAAGTAGCCTTAAATCATTTTGTTATGAGATGGGTGTCAAATTCAAGAAAAAAAGAAAGAAAGAAAGAAAGAGAAAGGGAAGGAAAGAAAGAAAGAAAGAAAGAAAGAAAGAAAGAAAGAAAGAAAGAAAGAAAGAAAAGGGAGGGAGAGAGAAAGAAAAAGAAAGGGAGAGAGAGAAAGAAAGGGAGAAACAAAGGCAGAAAGAAAGAAAGATAGAAAGAGGGAGAGAGAGAAAGAAAGAAAGAGAGAAAGAAAGAAAGGGAGAAAGAGAGAGAAAGAGGGAGAGAGAAAGAGAGAGAGAGAGAGAAAGAAAGAAAGAAAGAAAGAAAGAAAGAAAGAAAGAAAGAAAGAAAAAAAAAAAAAAAAAAAAAAAAAAAAAAAAAAAAAAAAAAAAAAAAAAAAAAAAAAAAAAAAAAAAAAAAAACCAAGACCATGGTACACTGCATACACTCCACCAGTTCCAAAAGGGGATTCCAAAGAGACCTTCAGGATGAGGCCCTGGTTCACAAGTGCAAACTAAGTCCCAGTACCTGGGAGTGTCCGCCATGAATGCCAGACTTCAGGGATGAAGCAGAGTCTCCCGACGCCAAACTGGCCCCCAGGCTTCTTCCTGGAAACACAGACTCAGATGTAAATCAAGTGTCCCTACGGCTCAGGCATGCCCTCATAAACGACTTCGCTCTTGAGTCAGGCTGTGGAGGACGCGGGTCGCATTCCTACAGGTAGTGCTTGACTTACAACAGTTTCTTTACTGACCGTCCAAAGTTACGACGGCACTGAGAAAAGGGACTTCCGACCGTTTTTCCACACTCGGAGACTGTTGCAGCGTCTCCCCCCCACGGTCAAAATTCAGACGCTTGGCCACTGACTCATATTTATGACGGTCGCAGGGTCCCGGGGTCACACGACCCCCCTTTTGCGACAAGCAAAGTCAATGGGGAAGCCGGTTCACTTAACAACCGAGGGACTAGCTGAACAATTGCAGTGATCCACTTAGTGACTGTGGCAAGAAAATGGGGCAAAACGCATTGAGCAACCGTCTCGCTTAACAACAGAACTGTTGGGCTCAATTATGGCCGTTAAGTCGAGGACTACCTGTGCTCTGTGCCCCGATTTATCAGCGGCATCCTTGCATCTCACTACTTACTAGTCGCCAAGTGTGATCAGAAATCTCACTTAAGTGAGATTACCTTCAATCAAGATCAGGTGAGACACTAATGCCACTCTGTAAAGCCTTAGTAAGGCCACACCTAGGATACTATAACCAGATTTGGTCTCCACACTATAAAAAGAGGTTGAGACTCTAGAAAGAGTGCAGAGAAGAGCAACAAAGATGATTAGGGGGACTGGAGACTAACACATATGAAGAACGGTTGCTGGAATTGGGTAGGTCTAGTTTAATGACAAGGACTAGGGGTGACATGATAGCAGTGCCTCGATATTTGAGGGGCTGCCACAAAATGAGGGGGGTCAGTCTATTCTCCAAAGCTCCTGAAAGCAGGACCAGAAGCAATGGATGGAAACTGACCAAGGAGAGATTCAACCTGGAAATAAGGAGGAATTTTCTGGCAAACAGAAGTTATCTTCAGAAGTTGTGGGAGCTTCATCCGCGGAAGTTTTCAAGAAGAGACTGGACGGCCATCTGTCAGAAATGGTGTAGGGTCTCCTGCTTGGGCGGGGAGGGGGGGGCTGGACTAGATGACCTGCAAGGCCCCTTCCAACTCTGTTATTCTAATTCTAAAAAATTCTAAGGGCGCCGCCTTCCCGAACCAAAGCTTTATAAGGGGCACTTAAGAAAAAAAAAGTTTGAACGTTCACATTTGCGGTTCGCAAACGTCGCTGGCTGCGCTTGCAGTGGCTTCGCTGACAGTTCCGGTCCGTTATTCTCTTGTTGACGCTCTGAGTGTAGGAGCAATACAGGAATTGGGCAGGTAAAGGTGGACGGATGCAAAGAGAGGCTCCTTACCTGGCTGAGCTCCTGCCGAGGTCTGCAAGCCCACCGGATGCTGGTTCCCCAGTGCGTTCAGAGAGTTTTGGACACTCCCAGGCTGGGGCACTGTCTGAACCACCACAGGGCCCTGGGGCCTGAGATACTGGGGACCCGGAGCCGAAACGATTTGCAGGACACTGCCTGGTAGGTAGAAATTTGAGATGGAGGAAGTTACTGAAGCAAGACTCTCTCCCGCTGATTTTTAACATCTCGTCTTAGGCAGAGTTTACAGCCACTGCAACGTCCCCGTGGTCGCGTGATCGACATCTGGACGCTTCTGGCTTTCTGTGCTTGAAACTTTGATTTTGGGGTTTTACTGATGAGATTGATTTGTTATCTAGAAACGGCTAGTTGAGATTACTATGGAAAAGTCACGTTTCGTTCTACTGCAGGGCTCTTCAAACGTGGCCCTGTTGTACGACTGGTGGACTTCAACTTCCAGAATTCCTCAACCGGCATCGCCGATTCTGTAAACCGCTTAGGGAGGGCTGGTAAAGCGCTGTGAAGTGGTATATAAGTCTAAGCGCTAGTGCTATTGCTATCTCCAGAACAGGAAAGATTCGGGAGGGTTAGCTTGACAACTTGCCCTTCACGTCTACAACCAGAGGACCAGGCCAAAAAATCCAAAACACGTCTCAGGAACCACGGGAGGCTCACCGACCCCGGCTGAGAAAATCCTGGGGACGGGGGAGGGGGGGAAGCTCCCCAGATGTGCTCACCTTGCAGCTGCAGAGGCTGTCCCGCGGTCAGCTGGCGGAGTTGACTGTGCGACAGAGTGAATTTGTTCCCCTGGAACTGCAGCGTCACCGGCGTCTCCGGCTGCGCGATCCGGCCTTGGGCCCCTGCAATGGAAGCCAGCTGGGCTATTTTGACCACTTCACCACCTGGGGGAGAGGGGTGGAAGCACCCGTGAAGAAGGGGAGGGCGAGGGGCAGGTGGGTGAGGTGGGGGGCTTCTCCCAGACATCCCCTGGGCATTTCCTCTCGTCGTCGTGGTTAGTAAAACGGACGCGAACCACATGCAGAGATGTAGAGGTGGGAGAGGAGGGGAGGGGGTGGAGGGAAGTGTCATCCAAGAAGTTCCACAGGTACAGCTTTGATACGGGCGAGGGGCCGATTGCATCGGCTCCGTGTTTCTTTAAAGGCAGAACGGTGAGTGAATCGGGGCAGGCCAGAGGGCAGAGATCCTCACTCTTTCACAGGTTAGCAAGCGTGACCTGGAAAAAACTCACGTGACACTTCGGAAAGAGAGAGCAGAGAAAGTCCTTCAGGTCAGAACCTCTACCGCCTTTTCAAAAGCAAACGATAAACACAGCTCAAGAGAGGTAGGAATTCACAACGCGAGGGGTACGTAGAACAATTTACCGGGGAGGGGAAAAAAATATATATTATTATTTGTTTAGGGCTTTGCCAAGTTTGGGGTTTGGGGGGAGGGGAGATCAACGCGAAGCAGATTCGTTGGGCCTCCCAATCACCTTTGCAGACGATCCCAAAGGATTTGATTTCCCCCGTTGATTTGAAACATCCAATTAGCCGTGATGAATTCTGGACCGGGGAAGGAAGGGTGGGTGGGAGCGCGAAGCTCAGGCAGCCCTAGCCAAAAGAATTTGGATTCAGCCAATTTTTATTTTTCAATGCATAGAAGGTTATCTTTCCCAGAGCCCTCTCTGATGAAGAATTAAAGGTTTATTTGTTTGGAAGGGGCCGTTTTTGTCTGCGTGTCACCCTGTGTATCATGGAGTTCGGGCTCTGTTCACACGGAGCTAAACGCTTCTCCGTAAAATCAATCAGAAAAGAAATTAAAAATAAAAAATCGGGATGTTTTAATGCCTGGAAACCCTCGTCTATGCTTCCAGGCCTCCAAATTTCAAATCTCCCAAGTTTTGGAGTTGAGCGTGGCGCGTTTGACTTTTACAAAGGCAGCAGGTTCCTCCGGGAAACATTAGTACATCAGTGCTCAAGAAACCTCTGGAGCCGAGGTGGGCAACTCTGGCCCCTTTACGACCTGTGGACCGCAACTCCCAGAATTCCTGGCTCAAGGAATTCTGGGCGTCGAAGTCCACCGGTCGTAAAAGGGGGCCAGAGCTGCCCACCTCAGCTCCAGATGTGCTAACAGTGCATCTACCACCGGAAATAAGGCCACTTTAGCCCGTTCCTAGCCCAGCTTCCCGTTCTTCCTTACGGAGAGCGCCTTCATGTTTAATGACACATTCTTTAAGCCAAGATGTGGTTAGTGTTCTCCAACAACAACAACAAAAAAAAGAGGAGAGAATTAAATTAGGATAAATTTGTTCTTTCCAAAAATTAAAACAAAAGAAAAACAAGTTTCCAAGAAAGGCTGACCAAGAGGAAAAAAAAACATGCAGAAGAACTGAGATTAAGTTGACACCACTAATGTACAGGTAGTCCTCGGCTTAGTGACCAAAACGGAGTCCAAGGTTTCCGTGGCTAAGCCAGGCAGTTGTTAATAAGTGGGTTGCGCCCCATTTTACAACTTTTCTTTTTTTGGGGGGGTCACATGGGTTAAACGAATCCCTGCAGTTGTTAAGTGAATCGTGCCGTCGTTTAAGTGAATCCGGCAGCCCCCACTGACTCGGCTCTGGAAAGGCTGACCCTGGGATAGTGCAACTGGCGTTAAGGACACGCCAGTTGCCGAGAGTCCAAATTTTGATCACGTGACCGCAGGAGGGGATGCTGCAACGGTGGTAAACGTGAAAAAGCGGCTTTTTTTCAGGGCCATTAACTTCAAACCGTCACTAAGCAAAAGGTTTCAAGTCGAGGACTACCTGTAATGCTCACAGCAATTTTCCTTCTTATCTAAAAGTTGCACTTAAAACACAGTATTTTTTTTTTAAACCAAATGAGCAACGTAAAATGGTGAGCGAGGCAAACTCCAAAAGGGGAGAACGGAAGGAAAGGAGCAAACCGAGCCACCATCCAAATATATCTACGTCTACATACGTATCCCTGCGCCCATTTTTTTTAGGGTGCCTAATAACTTAACCTCAGGGAAGCTTTGGAAAAAAAAAGGAGGAAGAGGAGGAGGAATGGAGGAGGAAGAGAGAAGGAAGCTGGAGAAATCTGGGAAGCAGGGCAGAGAGGGGCACTTACTGGGTAACCGAGCCTGTGCCTGACTGGTTAACACGAGCCTCTGAGGCAGGACACTCTGTTGGATGGTGGGTGGGGGGGCCTGTGGCTGGGCCTGCCCTAGCTGGAGGCCTTGGGTGGTAGCCTGGCCCCGCAGTTTCACTGGATGGGCTGGGCTAGTTGCGGTGGCGAAGGTCATTGCTGGCTGATGTCTCGGAGGAGGAAGAGGAAGAGGAGGAGGTGGTGGTGGTGGTGGAGGAGCACCGGAGGAAGACGGGGCCGTCTGCAATTGTGCTGCTGCTGCTGCTGCGGTTGCAGCAGAGGAGACGGCAACGGCGGCTGCAATCAATAAGGTCAGGGGGGGTGCAAGCGGTTAGAGTCGGTCCCTTTTTTGTTTTTTTTCTTCCTTTCAAGGGTTAGAGAAATTGCAAGGGGTCAGTTTTAAACCTTGGGGGGAGGTGGGGGCTCCGAGTACAGACACGTTGCCTTGGAGGAGGGGGGGGGACACACACACAAAAAAAGGAAGAAAAATCCAGAGGCATTTTGGGAGCTTAAACCAAGGCAGCGAAAGTGATTCGCTGCGCGAATTCAGTCTCGTGACACGCAAACGCACAGGCACACAAACCCACGTGAACACAACTTTCCTTGCAGAGCGATGTGCGTACGTGCGTGTGTGTGCGTGTGTGGTTGGTCTGCTAGCTCTTTGAGTCAAGGTTGGTCTAGCGCAGTGGTTCTCAACCTTTTTAATGCCGCGACCCCCAACCGGTCATGAGTCGAGGACTAAACCGGTCGTAAGTCGAGGACTAAACCAGTCGTAAGTCAAGGACTAAACCGGTCGTAAGTCGAGGACTAAACCGGTCGTAAGTCGAGGACTTTCCCTGCCCGGGAGCACCGCGCATGCGTGGTTCCACCCCCTGCGCTGGCCGAGGCGTAGTTGGCAAGCGGCAGAGACGGAGCAGGCCGACCACCAGCTGGCCCAGCCCAAGGGAGGGAAGGCACCCGCCGGAAAAGGGGAAAAAAATGGCGGACAGCCTTGCTTGGCGACCCCCGTGAAATGGTCGATCGACCCCAAATGGGGTCCCGACCCACAGGTTGAGAACCGCTGGTCTAGCGCAGGGCTAGGCAACCTCGACTCGTGGACGTCAACTCCCAGAATTCCTGAGTCAGCTCTGCTGCCTTGAGTTGTTTGTAAAAAATAATAAACGGTGGGATACAAACAAAGCAAATAATTAGGGGTGGCCTGAAGAATCGGCTTGATCATGCCCATGCTAGCTTCTCAGTGAAGGTGAGACCAAACAAAGACCTACAAACACACACACACACAGTCTAAACACATTGCCTGGAAACGTTCACTTTCAGCTCAAACTGAAACATTCAATAATAAAAAAAGAAAGAGGATGAAAACACAGGTAAAAGGTGTTGTGCGCGTGAAATGCTTCGATGATAACCCTCCATTCCAGATTTTCAAACAAAGCACAATCAGGTCTCTTCCAGGGCCAGCCAAAATGGGATTTTCCCAGAATGTTAAGCGAACGGGCTGGGACTGACTTCTTGAAAACCAAGCTTTGCGTGCAAAATGTAAGCCTTTAAGCTCCAAGTCGCCTGCCTGGACCATCTCCAAAAAAAAGCATGACAATTTGCTGTCACTCTTTTTAATTCCCTTTCTGAAGTTTCAAATCAAAAGGGGGGGAGGGAAAAAAGGAGGGGAGTAGGAGAGCTTCAAAACAGCTCTTCGGAGAGAAATCCTTCCAAATGAAACCTGCCTGATGGTGAGATGGGTGGCGTATAAATTTAACAAACACAATAAAAAGGTCCAGAAACATCTCGGTCCGAGGGAATTGAACAAGAGCATCCTGCCTTGAAACCCAGGAAGACCACCCACCCAAAACTGGGAGAGCACCTAAATGGGTCGAAACCCCCCCCAGAATCGGTTCACAATTCACAGAAGAACCCTCAGAACGGAGCTTCCAAAGGCCAGCTCGGGACGTATTCGGGAAACAGAGACACCGAATGCAGCTGGAGCTGGATTGAAGGTCAGATAAAGACCTGGGGGATCCTTCATCCAAAACCCCAGGTGGACAACTCCACATCTGTAGACCCAACCTGGCCTGAGGTCCACAGCTGGAAATGCTGTTCAAGGAGAATTTTATGAGGTGGATCTACTCAATCCGTGCCTCCGGTAGGACGACTTGAGTTCCGCTTGGCTCAACACTGATTTCATCCAGATACGCGGGAGTTCCAACTTGGGGGCGGTGATGGTGAACCTCAATAGATCAGGAAGGCACAAGGTTGAGGGGGACTGGTTTCATTCCAAGGATGGGTTGAGGGAGGGAGGGAGGGAGGATGAACGTGAAGGGGAACCAACCCACACCTGTTGAAAAGGAAGGAATCCCAAGCAGGATCACCTTTCTCACCTTGGCTGGCAGTTACCGTAGTCATGGGAGATCTCCCTCGCCCTTGGGCCTGTTGGGCAACCGTAGCCGCGCTGGTGGCCCGTTGCACTTGAGCGCTAGGAAAGGTCACCATCTTCCCTTCAGGTTTTTGCCCATAATGAACAGGTTGGAACAATCTGGAGGGGGGAAAAAAAGAACGGTTGGGTGCTGTGATGATTTTTCCATAAAGTTCTCTTGGGAGTCCTAAGCAAAACCCAAGCGTCTACGGAGATTCTCAGTCATCCAGGTCCTAGTTACCCCCCAAGATGCTTTTCCACCAGGCAACTGGACTGCCTTGTTTTTCTTTGAAGATGTTTCGCTTCTCATCCCAGAAGCTTCTTCAGCTCTGACCATCCAGTCAGACCGGACCGTTCCCCACCATCCAGTCAGAGCTGAAGAAGCTTCTGGGATGAGAAGCGAAACGTCTTCAAAGAAAAATAAGAAAGTCCAGTTGCCTCGTGGACAAGCATCTTTGGGACAAGCAAAAATTATTTCTCAGACTCCTTTCAATCCTATTAAAAACTGAGGAACTGTCTCCAAGGAGGGGAAGGATTTGGCTTCTCCTGTTCTGATCCAAAGGAACACTTCAGCATCCTTTTCAATGACCTCAGCATGGAAGGGAGTCAAATATTTAGGGGACGGGCCTGGTGCCCTAATCCTTGGAGATGCTTTAAGCTCCTTCCTTCCTTCCTTCCTTCCTTCCTTCCTTCCTTCCTTCCCTCCCTCCCTCCCTCCCTCCCTTCGAACCCTTGAACGCTGTTCTGAAATTGAGACCCATGCTTCAGATTGTGACTGATCAACATGCCAGCAAAACTGAACAGGGACAAGAGTCCAATCGACATTGGAGTTGGCTGCCTAAGGGCCACTGAGGCTATGGAAGGCTTTAAGCTCCTTCCTTCCTTCCTTCCTTCCTTCCTT